ATATATATATATATATTATATATATTATATATATATATTATATATATATATTATATATATATTATATATATATATAGATAGATAGAAAGATAGAGATAGATAGATATATATATACATATAAATATATGTATATGTTCCTTCAACAGCTGTAAAATTTGCAGTTTTTACTACCCTAGAAAGAGATCAGATTCTATCAACAAGCTATTTCTGCTAGTAGGTCGGTTTAACAAGGATGGACTTCTAGCTGATAAGCGATTTTATACATAGGTCATGAATCTGAAGCTGATACAAGCCAGTATCAGTATAATATTAACGATCAGTATGAAAATGAATAATAAAGGAATATTTACAATTGTTACTAGAATTAATGGATTGATATAAATGCTTTTGAATATTGACCATTCATGATTCTTCAGGCATGGGGTTCACACTTGTAAAATTAAATCTAAATCTTGGGTATCAGGTGCAAGACATATTAACCCAATGGTGCCGGGGAAAATGAACAAAAAATGGAGAAAATGCTGTGCCCACTTTCTATGTTTTTCGTGAAATATCTGCCGATAGATGGCTCTGCTAGCGCCTGATTTGAAATGGCGGGAAAAACGTATTTTTCACTAGTGATATGAAAATCGATGGTGTTATTTTTATCATAAACATAATTTTTATAATGTTTTTTTAACATTAGTAACAGCAAAATAAGATAACGTAAAATATTTCGTAAATCAAAGAAACGGGTAAACGGGCGAGACGGGCGGTACTCGTAACTGGCTCATTGGTGATTTAGTACAAGTGTTGCCATCTATGCGTAACAACAATCAAACAAGTACTCATCGTGGGCATAACACGTACGTACACGTCATACCCGGCACCAAGGGGTTAAGAGTACAAATGTTACTGCTGACATGTGCAGAAGAATTGATATACTTTGCGACAAACAATGCATTGGTTTGTTACTTGAGGAACGACTGCAACTCCTTTCTTCCACACATTACTTGATCAAACCGATTTCTGTAAAGGATACTATAGAAGGAGAATCAAAATAAGTCTTTGGAGTTTTCGAATGCGTGTTATGCAAAGCTGAATATATAGAAGTTGTAGAAGAATGTGACACTGGCATTCTTCTACAGGTGTTCAGAAGGTTCGTTAGGGTAAGAGATTTTCCCAATGCAATATTCTTTCCAGGGCTCACAGTTTGCAAAGCCAAAGACAGAAGTTGCAAAATAGATAGATAATATAAATTCTACTGATATACCTAATTTGGCAGCAAAGAAGGCTTGACATGGTGCAGCTGCTCTGTGGCAGAATGGGTGTGCAGAATCACTTATACATTTGGTATGAAGAATAAATTCTAATTTATTTTTGCCACAACCTACACAACTTCCCATTCTGGGTCACGCCAGGTCCAATAGACTCGTCCTCACTCTCTCACCAGCAGGCACTTCTTGCAACTCACTGCCAAGACCTAACAGGTTGACGCAGACACCTCACGGCTCTCTGATTGGACTGCAGGCTCCCATCTTTCCCAGTTTGCTCCCGACTGCTTAAGCTTGGGATCCAGAACCGAGATCAACAGAACATCCTCTAGCCACACCTCAGCAAGCAGCAGCAACACAAGGACTGTCCAGTCCTTCACTGACATTGGAGCCTCTCCAGCTCCCCCACAGATCTCCACTGTTATGGCATCCAGCCATAGCAGTGGAAGAGAGAGATAAACTACCAGACAAGTGGTTTATGCAACTATTCTGCTCCACTAGGGAGTGCTATAGTGGTCCCTGTTTGGCAATCACACAGAACAGCCCCTGACTTGCTACTAGCCACTTCCTACCGAGTGACCGCCTAACCGGCCGAGCTACAATCGCCGGTCAGGTTCATAAGCCAACAAACCTGAATTTGAATTAGGCCAGGCTGTAGGAGGTTAGACGTCGGCGAGGTCTGTGCAACTGCAGCACAAGACCTAGTGATCATAGAGGAAGATTTTAATGTGCACCACCCAAGATCGCTCTTCTCAACATCCAAGAGCCAGCGCATGTCAAGGGAGGGATCCTAGACCTCACCTTTGCCATTGCGGCCCTGGTGGAAAGAATCAGATGGTGTGTTGATGAGACATCTATGAGTGATCACTACGGCACTGTTACCACCTTCATGGATGCTGGTCAAGCCATTCAGAATGCTTTGGCCTGCTGCCTTAGATGCCTTAGACTCTCCTACTCCATTATTTCTCGCTTAGGACTGACAGGTGAGCTTACATTCCTACAAATCATTAACAATTTCTGGGAAACTGTCACTCTACCCTAGTGCCCCATCACTCTCCTCACCTGTCTGGGCGTGACGGCCGAGAGGATAGTACTAAACCGGCTCCATTGGAAACTGGAACCCTCACATGAACACCTCCATGTGTTCATGAGGCATGAGCACTGTATACAGTATAGCCACTGTCTTCTACACACCACATCTGTGATTATATTCCTAGATCTGCAGAAGGCTTTTGAAGTAGCAAGTC